AAAGACTCAGGGTTTCTGAAAATGTCATTTGTATGAAAATAGGTAAAGAATTGACGAAGCTACGACCGTTTTTTTAATTTTTATGCACCGCACGAAATTCGGCCACTTCCGGTCTGCGCAGAATTTTCAAAAATACTTTATCAAGTAGCCACCACATGGTTTCCCGATAGAAAATTGAACCCTAGATCGATATCTGGTTTCCATAATGGAGAAATAGGCTCCCGCGGTAAATAATAATAATAACTAGACCTGCAAGCAGCACTGAACCGGCTTTCAGGAATCAGGCAGGAAGTGTTTCATACAATAGCCCATTTATCGAGCTACCAAACGATACTTTAGATGTTTTGATCCGGTCACACCCGACGGTGAAATCCCGATTGTTGCAAGAGCACCGATTTTTTACTGTCTTTTTTTAAAAAAAAAAATATCGAATAATTTTTTGACTACTTCCTGTTTACGGATCATTATCGGGATAGATTTAACAAGTGGTATGGGAACTTAACTTCCTGTACCAGAAGTTTCAGAAAGATCCATTGGACAGTTTTACCTCCCTTATACCATTAGAAGCATATTTACAGATATAACGATTTTTCGACTTTTTCAAAGACTGTGGCCCTTTTGGATCATTTATACTATATTGAGGCTTTTATATTTGGAATCACACCATAGACCACCGTTAGGACTCTAAGTAACAGAAGTATAAGAAAGGAAATCAGATAAGTTTTCGAGATAAAAGCGTCTGAATAGGGTCCAAAAAGGAAAATAATAGATTTTCAGCGTTTCATTATATATTGCTTAACCCGCGAATTTTTACCATTTAGATGTCATACGATTGTCCATTGTTCGGGCTCTCCAATGACACTTTAGTTGTTTTGATTCGGTGAAATCTTACGTAGTAATAACTTTTTTCGCAAGATCACCATTTTTTTCACTTTTTATGGGTTTTTTTTCTCAAAATATCGGATATTTTTTCGACTACTTCCGGTTTTTGGATCATTGTCGGGATAGTTTTAACAAGTTGTTTGGTTACCTAACCTTCTGTACAAGAAGTTTCAGAAAGATCCATTCAGCCGTTCTCCAAAGAAAGAAAAATAGAAGAGCATTTTCAGTAATTTAAGGATTTTTCAACTTTTTTCCAAGATTGAGGCTCTTTTTGGACCACTTACATTATTTCAATGTATTTATTTTTGGACTCTCGCCATAGTCCACCGATAGGTCTGTGGAAGTAGGTGTGGCAAGAAGGATTTGCCCACCATTCTATGCGTGTGACAAAATGAATGTGGTAATCTTTTGATGCCGTAAACATGGTAAGTAATGTACTGCTTCCTGAGTCAGTTTGTCAGTAACAAAATTTCGAAGAAATTTCGAAAATTTTTTCACTTTAACTGATGTATCTTAGCCAGTTCAATGTCAGACATCCGGAAAATCAGTGTTTTCAACATCCGAACCAGTGATGTCTTGTTACTATTTTTATTAGGAAGTGCAACAAAATTTTGTCAGATTATTCAAGACTTAGAAATTACACGCAACAGCGAGACTTCCAGTTTCTAGGAAACGGTATATACTGCATAAATCACCCAGCATTTGTATTAATATGACCATGTGATACAGCTCAACTTTATTACAACTTTGAAAATAGCATATTTTGTCAAAACCATGTAGGATATATGTAGAGCTTCCATTTAGATCTTTAACTAACAGTTATTTGAGTGTTGCAATTGTCTCGCTAAATGACATTCTTCTAATTCTAATAAATTGCAATTTGAAAACCGCAATGGTTAAAAAATTTGCAAAGTGTGATCCTGATGTATGGTTATCCTTTGATGAACAAAGAACGGTCTTGTCATTTTTATTAAATCGTCAGGGGTGGATCCATAGTCGGGTTTGGGGAGTCTAAACTCCACCATTCTCTGCTACATAGAATCCTTCATTATCAGATCAGATGGTGTAATGGGATTGGCATTGAAAGTGTGAAATAATGATATAGACATGTGTGACATCACATTTAATGCTTTGCATCAAGGAAATTGAATCACAACGTGATGATAATGTATGATAAAACTCTTATTTCTCTTTTAAAAAACTCATTGTGTATGTATGCCTATGTCATTAAGAGACGATGACAGCATGCATTGTCAACTGTTAAATTTCCTTAACAGGAGCCTAGCAAACCCCCTCCTGCATAAGTTCCAAGATCCACCCATTCTCGGTGGCGTGGATATATGGTTCTTGTCAGATCTGATGGATATCGTGTATGCAATTAAAGGATTTGACAATAAACTTAAAGAAACATAAGTTATTTTCATTTAATATTGAAGTAACATTATTTTATAAATTTACTTTATAGGGTTAATGAATAGTTAATTCTTAAAAGAATTCTTCTGCTAGGAGCAAACCTGGTTGTCATGTTTTGGTGATTGGCAGATTAGCCAGTTTACTGGCCGATAGCTCCCTTAATTTACACATAAACTAACCCAAATCTGTACTTCACATAGCTTAACATATACTATTCAAAAAAAGTAGGGGATATTTGATTTTGGGGGCATAATACTAAAATATGCAAATGACTACGAAAAAAGTCACTATAGAACCTAACAGAAGAAACATTTCCAGTTACATGTGACGCCCAAACGCACCAATAGCTACCGCATGGAATGCAGGTGATGCTTGGGATCATCATGGGGGTCCAACCCAAGATTTGCACGACTCTGACTTTGAATGTTACAGTCATTGTGGCATTGAATTCCAGGGTGGAAACATCAGTTTAATTGTTTTAGTGACCAGAAAACAAATTTTGATATGCGTCGGCTTACCCAAAATGAAAGGTTACGTGCCCTTGGCATGCTACAGATCGGCACAACACAGGCGGTTGTGGCGCGGACGATGAATGTTTCTCAGTCTGTCATAAGCAGGCTATGGTCCAGATACCGTGATACACAATCTGTACAGGACAGACCACGCTCAGGTCGACCAAGGGCGACAACTCAAGCCCAGGATCGATTTATCCGTACCTTGGCCTTGAGAAATCGTGTCATCACAGCAAATCAGATCAGCGCTCGTCTTCAAACAGACACTGGTGTGAGAGTGAGTGGCCAGACGATTCGGAATCGACTGCATAGGGGTCACCTTCGCGCCCGACGTCCTCGCGTGATCCCTTGTTTGAGAGATCATCACATTCAGGCAAGACGTCGTTAGTGTAGGGATCGTCAACACTGGGATAATCGACGCTGGAGCAATGTGATGTTTTCAGATGAGTCTAGGTTCACTGTTGATTTTTTGGACAGACGTAGGAGGGTGTGGCGTCGTCGAAACGAGCGCTTCCAAGACGTTAACGTCATCAGACATGATCGATTTGGGGGTGGTTCTGTTATGGTGTGGGGATGACAACGCAAGATGTCACAGGGCCAGGATCGTTACAGGTTACCTCCAACAACAGAACATCACCACATTACCTTGGCCAGCACTGAGTCCCGACCTCTTCCCCATCGAGCATGTCTGGGACATGCTTGGACAGAGGTTACGTCAACGTCAACAACGTCCTGCCAATGTCCAAGAACTTGCTGCTGCGTTGCAACAGGAATGGGACAATCTGGACCAAAATGACCTTAGACGTCTCATTAGGAGTATGCCACGTCGGATCAATGCTTGTTTGGCAAACAGAGGAGGATTTACCCGTTACTGACTTGGTTGTGATGCTGTGGTAACTTTGCTGTTTGACCCCGGGTATCATTTTACCCTTATAATGGTCAGTCTGTGCCTTACTTAGTCTAACGATCATTTGGAATAAATCGATGAATGTGAACTTCATTTCATTTTGTCATTTGTTTCTTCGTCAGTTTCATTAGGTGACTTTAATAACACTTAAAAATCAAATATCCCCTACTTTTTTTGAAATAAAGATGAAGCCTTACCGCATAATTATGATTTGATGAAACCCAACTGCTACGCAAATTTTAACTGGCCAGTGTCATGGCGGCAAGTTGCGTAATACGTCATTAGGCCTACAACATAATTGTTTGGTAACTATTTTAATGGTCCAGTCCTCACCATTTGTGATAGAATTACTTATTCCAATGCAAACTGTAATGGTATGTGTTGACAATTGTAGGTTTGAACCTATTTGAACTTGCGTAATGGTTCTTAGGCTGTCTCAATTGTAACCTTAACACAGTTTAAGGTTGCAAGTATAGTAACTAGGTAGCCATGGTGTCTGAGATACTTGCTCATGAGCCTCAAGGTAGCATATTTGCTCTCTGCTTTGGCCTCACAAGGACACCTGTCTAGTCATGCCTTTGGGACACAAAGCCATGGAGCGTGGACCAATGTATTGTATACGTTGGCGTGCCCAGAAAAGATCCCATGGCAGTTAGTATTCAGTGTAAGAGTAGGCAATAGTGGCACTGCCAGCTAAGATTTCCTGCTCCCTGCTTTGGCCTCACAAGAACACCTGTCTAGTCGTGCCGATGGAACACAAGCCGTGGAGCGTGGACCCATGTATACGTTGGCGTGCCCAGAAAAGTTCCCTTGGCAGTTAGTATTCAATTTAAGAGTAGGCAATAGTGGCACTGCCAGCTAAGATTTCCCTCAATGCACACTGTATGGTGTATTGCCGTCTTCATTAGCCCAGTAGGTGTAGAAAACGTAAGCGTACAATTTCATTTCATTGGAAGCCACAATCGTTCAGCCAGAAAGAACAGAGCAGTGACTATTGCTTTGCATTGGAGTGAAAACCAAGGTCTCATGCACAAGTTGAGAGCATTAAAAAAAGAACAGTTAGAAAAACAAATAAGAGAACAGAAAATTTCCCTCATAGATTTATAGGAAAACCTTGAAAGTGAGAAAGCAAAATAGCAGTTGGCCATATTCCATGCCAAAAACTACTGCATGGTGCATTGTTGTTTTTATAAGCAGCAGTAGGACATTAAAACCTCATTGATATTCCATTTCATATATTATTTGATTTACAAAATTATAATTTTGTATTTTTTAATTTTTTTTAGCATTTATTATTGAATGTTATTGGAGCGCCTGTACTTGTACCAAACTGGATTATTATTTTGCTTTTGGTGGTGATGGGCAGATCAACACTGTGGTAAGTCTCAATGATATGTAAACTAAGTGCAGTAGCGTCCAAACCCTATATAACTAAAGCAATAGCGCCTACTTGGTGTTGTCACTTATTCACTTACATCCTGTCCCTGTGCAATATTAATGGTTCAGCCAGAAAGAACAGAACAGTGACTATAGCTTTGCATTGGAGTGAAAACCAAGGTCTCATGCACAAGTTGAGAGCATTAAAAAAGAACAGTTAGAAAAATAAATAAGACTACAGAAAATTTACCTCATAGATTCATAGCAAAACCTTGAAAGTGAGAAAGCAAAATAGCAGTTGGCCATATTCCATGCCAAAAACTACTGCATGGTGCAGGGCTGTTTTTATAAGCAGCAGTAGGACATTAAAACCTCATTGATATTCCATTTCATATATCATTTGATTTACAAAATTATAATTTTGTATTTTTTAATTTTTTTTAGCATTTATTATTGAATTTTATTGGAGCGCCTGTACTTGTACCAAACTGGATTATTATTTTGCTTTTGGTGATGGGCAGATCAACACTGTGGTAAGTCTCAATGATATGTAAACTAAGTGCAGTAGCGTCCAAACCCTATAAAACTAAAGCAATAGCGCCTACTTGGTGTTGTCACTTATTCAATTACATCCTGTCCCTGTGCAATATTAATGGTTCAGCCAGAAAGAACAGAACAGTGACTATAGCTTTGCATTGGAGTGAAAACCAAGGTCTCGTGCACAAGTTGAGAGCATTAAAAAAAAAACAGTTAGAAAAACAAATAAGACTACAGAAAATTTACCCCATAGATTCATAGCAAAACCTTGAAAGTGAGAAAGCAAAATATTAATGGTTCAGCCAGAAAGAACAGAACAGTGACTATAGCTTTGCATTGGAGTGAAAACCAAGGTCTCATGCACAAGTTGAGAGCATTAAAAAAGAACAGTTAGAAAAACAAATAAGACTACAGAAAATTTACCTCATAGATTCATAGCAAAACCTTGAAAGTGAGAAAGCAAAATAGCAGTTGGCCATATTCTATGGCAAAAACTACTGCATGGTGCATGGCTGTTTTTATAAGCAGCAGTAGGACATTAAAACCTCATTGATATTCCATTTCATATATCATTTGATTTACAAAATTATAATTTTGTATTTTTTAATTTTTTTTAGCATTTATTATTGACTGTTATTGGAGCTCCTGTACTTTTTCAAATTGGATTATTATTTGTTTTTGGTGATGGGCAGATCAACACTATGGTAAGTCTCAATGATATGTAAACTAAGTGCAGTAGCGTCCAAACCCTATAAAACTAAAGCAATAGTGCCTACTTGGTGTTGTCTGTGGAATTGATCTTTGGTGCATTCATATGTAAGTGCAAACATGTGTTGATGTTAAATTTAGGATTGTAAATAAAACTGTAACTCTCATACATGTACATGTACTGTCATCACTTATAAAAGGTGAATTTTCATAGCATCTCAGTGAGTTAAAGTTTTTATACTATTTTGTATTTCAGGTTTTCAAGGAAAGATGTCTTATTTCCAATTTTAAAGAATCTTGCTGAAATCTTAATGTTTTTCCTTCAACTTTATTCTGGTTCCTTATTGTATCTAAAATAAATTAAGAATGCAAAATCTGACTTGTAATCTGTGTTTGGAAAAATTAAAGTTGGCTGTCCTTATGATTCCTCTTCTGGTAGCTATCTAACCTACAGGTCCAATGTTCAAGGCTGGTGTTGCCAAGAAAGCTATTTTGGATTTTCCATAATGGTTCCTCCCTTGTAAGTGGGGCAGAATGGAAAGCCTGACAAGGAACAACATATAGGTGTTCACTGTTCAGACATGGATAAGCCACTAAGGTCCCTTGTAACTCGAACCAAATCCTCAATACTCAATGGGTAAGACATTGCCTGTCTGAACTTGAGTTCCTGTGTTCAATTCTCTGTAAGCCGAGAAAGTTCATCAGAAATCACTGTAATCTGGGTATCATTTAATCCTGTGTATCTAGCACTAAATTCTTTAACAATCGTTTGATATCAAATGTTTGTTTAAAACATTCGTGAAAGTCATTTTAAATCTCACATATTCATCTAATTTGTACTTGTGTCCAGATTAAAGCTGATCATTCAATTTTCGATCACCGTTCAAAAATTAATCGTTATTCATCAATAATCAATAGATGCTAAATTAGTGCTAAATATACCAGATTAAATGATACCAGTTTACAGTGTTTATTCCAGCGGGTCATGCTAGTGGTGTAAAATAAAGACACTGTAGAGACAACATACAGTCATTTGTATAAACCAGACATCCTTAGCCCACATTTCCATGCACGTTAAAGAACACCCCATAGTCATTTGGGTGGGATTGAAAACCAGGGTCCCATAATTGCCGGAGGGGTGGGGTGGGGTGGGGTGGGGTGGGGTGGGGTGGTCTAGTGGTCTAGACTGCCGCGTTTCGACCTCTAGCTGGCCGGTCACCTCTGGCTTGCGGCTGTGGTTTCGATCCCAGGTGTGAGCATATGTGGCATGGAGATCGGGCGCCTTCTCAACCTCGTGTGTTTCCTCTGGGCACTCCGTTTTCCTCCCACTGCTAAAGACCCCTACGCACAAGCGAATTATTGAAATAAAGTTAAAAACATATGTTAGTCCCGAAATGACCTAGTTTGTGTCGAGTGGACGCTAAACCCCATTTCGTTCTCTCCCATAATTGCCATGCATGATAAGATCCCTGTGAAGTTGGAATTTAAAATAACAGTAGACTGTAGAACCACTATCTGGGCAAGGTTTCTCTCATAGTACGTTGTACTTTTGGTTTACAGGGTTGTTCCTTTTGATTGGGGCATCATATAATTACTTGATTTGTCATAGTAGGCAACTACAGACTCCTAACATTCAGAATTAGAATTAAATGTATGTCATAGTGAAGCCGTTGGACCAAATTCCCCCCATAAAATTGATCTATGCATACATCATTTGACCCTCGGTCATAATATATTCGGATGCACAGTCATATCATCCTGTGCACGGACAGATAACTCCACAACTGGAACAAAAAATAGAATCCTTACAAATCGTTGTGGCTCGGTGAGTAAGGCGTTGTCTGGCTGACCTAGCGGTCCTGTCATTGATCATGGTATTGGCTAAGAAAGTGCATTGTTATAATTAATAGGGTCTAGCACGGAACAGTCATTTACAGGCCCGACGGAGGGGGGGGGGTCACCGCCCAACAATAATTTTGCAGCAAGTACTCTTTTTCTCCAGGTTATTGCGGCCCCTGGACCCTCGCCTATAAGGACCTAGGATGGAAGCCTCTCCCAAATCGAGAAGAACTTCTACCGGCCCTGATTTGAATGGGAAATAAAACCAAGGTCCCAGGCATACATTGGAGTGGTCCTGTGTTCGATTGCATGTAAACCAAGATATTTCAACAGTATTGTTTTAGCAGATCACCCTCCACAGTGGTGTAGAATGGAGGACTTGACAACATACAAAGAACACCATGGTCCAGGCACAATCCCCTAATCCCACACAGCAATCACATTACATACAGATCTATATATCGTTTCGTATAACGTCGGACGTTTATTAACCAGATAGCGTTGATGTTTCTAGTGGAATACTCACTCGTTGCAACGAATCATTTCATTGGCTTATCCATGGAGCTATCCAACGACACTTTGGTCCGCTAATATCTGACGGAGAAATCAAGTTTTCGCAAAAGCGCCATATGTTTAAACCTTTTTAAACATTTTTTGAATACTTCCGGTGTGGAGATTACTGTCGTGGTAGTTTTAATAACCGGTTTGGGCACTTAAATAACCGTAGGGCCCTGTTATGGTTTATTACATTATCTGATCAGACAAAAATGCACCTGAGAAATACTATGTTCAAAGGTGCCAAAAATGTCAAAATATCGAAAATCAAATTTCAATAACTCAATACATATTATACATCGTTAAAATCGTAATTACACCAGCTATCTGAATATGTAACATTTTTTTGATAATCTCTTAAAATAAAAAAATAGAGCATTTTCCAAAATTACACGATTTTGCGACTTTTTTCGGTTTTCAGGTCGTTATTTGACCTATTCCAGATATATCAAAGTCTTAAAGGAATGTTTCGTACACAAGACTACCAAAGGGTATCTCGATAGAGAAAGTTTCAGAAAAATTTCAATAACTCAATACATAATCGTTATCTCATAAAATAAGAAAATATTAGAGCATTTTCCAAAATTTCACGATTTTTCGACTTTTTTCGATATTCAGCCCGTTATTTGACCTATTCAAGATATTTCAAAGTCTTTAAAATGGAATGTATCGTACACGAGACTACCGAGAGGACTCTCGCTAGAGAATGTTTCAGAAAAATCGCTTGAATAGTTTTCAAGATATGGGCGTCCAAAAACGCTCAAAATCAGACAATACTTGACTTTCAGCGTACCATATTTTGCTGCTTTTTCGTAGTATCCATATGAATTTGGTATCATAAGATAGTCCAATAGATACTTAACTTCCTGTAACAGAGGTGTTAGAGTTAATATTACGTCACTTCCGTTGCCGACAGAAAAATTTCACCGTAACAAAAAAAATTACAATTGGGACCACGAAGCATATGAACTTTGCTTTATACAAATCGAACAATAAATAATTTTTCTGGGTACGAAAAACTAAATTAGCCGATGGCGGCTAACGCAAATTACCGAGATATTTTTTTTCTCTCATTTCTGCTGAAGTAGGATGATATTTTAACCCTGTGTAAAATACCATCAAAAAATATTCATAAATAAAAAAGGTTTTCGTAAAAAAAAATTAAAAAGGTTTTCGTAAAAAAAATTTTTTTTTCAAAATATCGGACTTTTTTTTCGACTACTTCCGGTTTTACGATCATTGTCGTGATAGCTTTATGAAGTTCTTTGGATACTTAACTTTCTGTACCAGAAGTGTCAGAAACATCCAATGAATAGTTTTGGAAAAAAAGATAAATCAAAGAGCGTTTCCAAAAATTTAACGATTTTTCAATTTTTTTCAAAGTTTGAGGCCATTTTTGGACCAACTATATTATTTCAATGCTTTTCATTTTGGATTCACTATATAGACAACCGATAGGACTTTGAGTAAGAAAAGTTTAAGAATAATCGTAGGCGTCGTTTTCGAGAAAATGGCGTCTCAGAATGTTAAAAAATCGGAAAATACTAGATTTTTCTTCATACAATAATTTATTTCCTTACCATCAAAATCGTATTATTTAGATACCATATGATGGTCCATTAATAGGGCTATCCAACGACACTTTAGTTCTTTTGGTCCGCTACTACCTAAGGGAGAAATCAATTTTTTCGCAAGTGCGACAATGTTTTTAACCTTTTTTTTTCATTTTTTGAATACTTCCGGTATGGTTATTATTGTCGGAATAGTTTTAATAGCCGGTTTGGCCACTAAAATAGCCACAGGGCTCTGTAATGATATATTACATTATCTGATCAGATAAAATGCCCCTGAGAAATCCTATGTTCAAAAGTGCCAACAATGCAAAAAAATTAAAATATCGAAAATTAAATTTCAATAACTACATACATATTATACATCGTTAGAATCGTAATTAGGTCAGCTATAAGAATATACAACCTTTTTTGAAAATCTCTTAAAATAAAAAAATAGTAGAGCATTTTCCAAAATTTCACGATTTTTCGACTTTTTTCGTACACAAGACTACCACAAGGTCTCTCGATAGAGAAAGTTTCATAAAAATCGCTGGCGTAGTTTTTGAGATACAGGCGTCCAAAAATGCTAAAAATCAGAAAATACTTGATTTTCAGCGTGCCATATTTTGCTGCCTGATCATAGTATCAGCAGGAATTGGGTATCATTCAGTGGTCCAATCACCGCCCGACCAAATGATACCTTAATTTGTTTAATCCGTTGATATCGGACGGAGAAATCGTGTTTTTACCAATTTTTCACGTTTTTTTCAAAATATCGCATATTATTTCGACTACTTCCGGTTTAAGGATTATTGTCGAAATTGCTTTATAAGTTGGTATTGGACTATAACTTCATGTTCCAGAAGTTTCAGAAACGTCAATTCTGCCATAAAACGAAACCCGAGCTCACAAAATGGGAAGAAAATTCGAAAAAAATCGAAAAATAAAGGGCGATAACTCTGAATAAAACTTATATTACTGGAATCGGATGGACTTCAGGTATCCAAAAATGTAAGTCAAATTTGAAAATTTTGAAAAATAACAAAAATTGTCTCGTAAACAACATGTTTTCAATTTTCGAACGATAAAAGTCATAGACGAATGTTCGAAATTGAAAAATGTGAGATAGCCATTGTCTCAGAAAAGATTTAGGGATTCCAAAAATGTAATTTGCTTGAAAATGGATAAAGAATTGACGAAACTATAGCCAATTTTCAATTTTTAGACAACGTACAAAGTTCGGTCACTTCCGGTATGCGCAGAAATTTCAAAAATATTTTATCAAGTAGCCACCACATGGTTTCCAGATAGAAAATCTAATTCCAGATCGATATCTGTTTTCGATCATGGAGATCTAGGCTCCCGCGGTAAATAATAATAATAATAATAATAATAACTAGATCTGCATAGCAGATATCAAAGCTTTCATATAA